CCAATTCTGATTTACATGAACTACTTTCTGTTTGGGACTCATGGAGGGCAGAAGTGAAAAGGATGCCTCCTCACCCCACCTCCTTCCCCCGGTTCTCAAATTCCCAGTTCTCACTTAATAGAAATCACCCAGAGTCACAGACAGAACCTTCTAGGAACTATGACTGATATTAAGTCTGTCTCTCATGAAAAGAGTGAGCGTAAGGTAAAAGTAATCCAGCCATCATCTCACTAAAGAACTTCTAGTTCTACCTCTCTGAAAAGTCCCCTATGACTTGTGGGCTACAGAGTTAGACAGGGAGCTTTTTATGTGGATCCAGTGCTTGTATTTATAAAGCCATTCACAGTCCTAAGAGATCCTGTAGTATCCAACACTGATGTTCTTCCTTGTAACTGTTATTGTCGGCAGTGATTCTGCTCCACTGAGTACTTACAATATGAATCCTGTGGACACTGCAACAGGAGAAGAACTAGCTCATCCTCTGTCTCCATCCTTCTTTTCCTCTCAGAGACAGGAGCTATGCAAGGATGTAGGCTGGCTTTTAGTCCCAGAGTCATTTCATCTGTGCCCGTATCACCTCTGAACACTACACTGTCAGCACACTTGCTTTATGAACAGGGGCACAACCCCCAGGGGCTAGAGCAAATTCCCTTAAAGAGAGCTGAAGTGCAAGTTGGATTTTCCATGTTCTAGGGCATGTTCACAATCCTGTATCTAAAGTCTGGTTAGACCAGTCAAGCATGGCACTTCCTAATAACTTCTCTGGCTAAAGACTCTGATTTTAGCTCTGATGCTTGTTGGCTGAACTCATTGAATTGACTTAAATCACTGGTCTCTGTCCTTGCCAACAGCCACCCTAAATCCCCTTGAAGTTCATCTGTGAATATGAGTATATTCTATTATTGGTTTGTAGTCACTGCTGAAGGTGCTACTTAGGAGCATCTTGGAATTATTTTGGGAAAGATTTTCCATCCAAGATCTTCACATGTCTTTGGGATGGAGCTTGCTTCTACCCTGGGAATAGCATTTGACATGACTGATTATGCCCTTCTTGAAACACTCTCTTCTCTTGGCTCCTGGATACTACACACTTCTGGGTTTTCTTCCTACCAAACTGGCTCTGCTTCTTTGTACCTACACAGCTTTATCTTCTACTTACTCACTAAATACCACAGACTTTTAAATCTCCATTCTATAATAGTTGTACTTCTTTCACTCTTTCTGTCCCTGGGTGATTTCATCAACCCTCATGTCTCTAATGCCATCTATGTACACATGACTCACATGTTTTTACCTCCAGCTCAGACCTCTGTTTTAGGTTGTAGACCTAAATTTTTAACTACCTACTTTTTTAGAGTATCTCTCAAGTACAAAGTGCCCCAAACTCACTTGTTCTCCCTCTAAAACTATTTTTCCCCCATTATTTCTGGAACCCACAAACAACACTATCATCTACCCTGTCATGCAAACCAAAGATTTATGGTCATCCTTGACAGTTTTTTTTTCCTCTTTTTTCTTCTTGTATACAATCAATTAAAATATTTTACCAATGTCTGTTTCAGGTAATTATCCCTTATCACATTGCTCTATCTCCGCTGCCATCATCTGAATCTAAGTAACTACCATCTCCACGATGGATACCTGTAGTGGTCTCAAAACTCCTTTCCTCAAATCCACTTTGTGAGTTCTACATTGAAGCTAGAAAGAGCTGTTGGAAATGTAAATCTGGGGACCAGCAGTTAGAGTAACGGCTATGTCTCTGGACTCCCATGTAGTCGACCACGGTTCGAGTCCCGGACCCGGTGGCTTAAACTCACACCAGGCACGTGTGTGTGCATGCCCAAGATCCCGAGAGGAGAATGGAGGAGAAGGGATTGTGGCGTGGCCATCCTCCCTGGGGGGTGATTTCTGACTTTCTGTCTCTCTGTCTCTCTCTCTGTCTTTCCGGTGAGTGCACGCACCCTATAGCAAAAACCTCTCCAAAAAAAGGAAATGTAAATCTGTCCTTATCATTGCTCCATGAATAACACTTGAATGGCCTCCTGTGTTTCTTGGGCTAATGAACAAAACTTCATTGTAGCCTAGGATGTTATGCAGTGACTGGTTTCTGCTGTCCTCTCCACCCTCTCTCTCACCACTCTCCTTGCTCTCTCATTCTTGTTATATTGCATTCATTTCATTCCTCAAATGTGCAGGGCTCCAGGAGCCATCTTAGTCAATGCTGTTTTCTCTACTGTTTCACATGCTTCTCTTATTTTCCCTTTGCCTGGTTATAGCCTTGTCTTCCCTTGAAGTTCACCACACTGGCATCTTCCTCCCTGAATAGATTCATACCCATTATGCACTTTCCAAGTGTCATGTGCCTGTTAACTGTTTAAAGAACACTTAACAGAGTTGAAATTTGCTATTACTAATTCTTGGTTTATTCATTGTTTATGCCTAGTCCTAGACACAACTAATGATAGGCTCTTTGAAGACAGGGAACTGTGGCAGTTCTGCTCACCACTGTATCGCCAAATGCCTGGCACATAATAGGTGCTTGTGATTATTTACTAAAAGAAGGAAGTGTGATTATCACTGATCCAAGTAATGGCAGTGTTCCTAGAGTAGTGAGATCCTTCCCAGGGGCTCTTCGCTCTTGTACTCCTAGTCCCTATCATAGGACCGCATGACAGGCTCTAAGTAAAATTTACCTATGCTAATGAATGAGTGCTCCAGAGCCAGCTCTCCTTTTAAATCCAAGCAAAGAGACTGCCATTGTTAAGTAAATCATGGTCTGAGATGTTCTACTTCCTTTATGCTTGGTATGTGATGGACTAGCCATACTCAGAAACTATGTCTCCAAATTGGGAAAAGGGAGCTGGCTAGGAGATACTAGAACCAGACCCCACTTGAGAATGTCAGACTAGCCCTGCTAAAGATGTGGTTGACTGCCTCCCCCGGAATCCTGTAGGCTGTAGATTGGCAGAGCCTGCGCAGGAAGTGCTGGGATTTGATGAGCTGGTCTTGTGAAAGTAATGAATAAGTTCTCTCATCTTTAAGACTTTCCAGAAGAAGAATTTCTGACCCTACAGACAACATATTAATAGTTTGGTACACAGCACATGATACATGGGTGCTCAGTATCCAAATAATGAACAAGTGAATGAATAAATGAAGCAAGCACCTGTGACTTGCTCACCTTCATATCATTCCATGATCATCTTTTGAGCAACAATTATGAAGAGGGAGGACTGCACTAGAAGCTGTGCAGTAGAGAAATGATAGGATGCACTCACTGTTTTTAAGACTTGGCTAAGTAAATCCAGCTTGTCTAAGTTATGGCAATTTGAGGAAAGTGCTCTGAGAGCAGAAACACTCAACACTTTTAAGCAGAAAGAAGGGGATAAAATAACATGCTGGAGGGCTGGTCTTGAACCTCCATGAATTTGAGGAATCAGAGCCATAGCTTATGGCATCCCTTAAAGTAAAAACTCAGCCAAGTTCTATGAACACATGACTTGAAAAAAGGAGAAAACTCAATTTGGTTCCACGAGAACAAATGTGTGTGGGCAGAGACATCATCCCTTTAGCTAAATACTGAACAACCACAAACATTTAGGGAGCCCCTATTACCACTGGGGCTCTGTGCTAACGTGGGAAAACAAAGATAAATGAGGCATAATCTTGCCTCTGAGGAGCTTGCAGACTACTGGAGGAGACAGATGTTGAAACAAATAACCAATAAAATCAGTACATTGTGGTAAGAGATATTGTGAGGTATGTGTAAACTGTTCTAAAGTGTTATCAGAATTTAGAGAAGAGAAAGAAACTCTCCAAGGATAGCACAGGCAACCAGAAAAAGTTTATTGACTGACAAAGAATGAGCTGGGGTGGATGTGGCAAAAAAGTAGGAATAGGTTACGAAAAGAGTGCTTTGCACTTGAAGCTGTCTCACACAAGCATGATACCATTGGAAATATGAAGGGCAGCAGCACACACCTCTGAGGGTGGAAACACCCAGACCACTCTCCAGAATGTCTGAAACAAGTAGTTGCTTCCAATCTCTAGTGTATAGCATGGAGAAGTTGGACTTCACCATTCTTTGCTGCTTTCTTTTGCTAAGGCATAGTAAAATTGTTTAATTGGGAGTCCCAACTGTCAAATTCAAGGTCTGATCACTGAGGCCCAAACTTAGGTTCAGAAAACTTGTGGACTCATGATCCTGACCTTTATTAGCCATGTGGTTTTTAACAAAGTCCCTTTGTTTTCTCATCTATAAAATGGGAAGATCAGTATCTTCCTTTGGGAATGTTTGTGAAGACTGACCTAGCTTAGATCTGTCAAATCAGCACTGAATTGAGGGTACAAAAGTAGCCAGTTTCCTGCCTTTCTTTTGAGAGGATTGCATCAGTGTGTTATCACCTGACGTTAGTACCAAATACCAAAAATGCAGTTAGTCAGAGAAGTGTTTTCTGAACCCAAGGCAATTCCCTTTAGTACACTAAGTGTTTACCCTATCATTTGCTTCATGTAAGGAACTAAACAAATCTTTCTTTTTAATCTCTAAATATCCAGTGATTTTCATTGACAGAAAGCTATTATTGCCACTATTTACCTGAAAGAATGAAATAAGCTTAGGAATCATCATGAATCCAAGAACCAAACTATAGTCCTATGCTTTGATACTAAGGACAAAGCAGTATGAGGGCTCAAATCCTCCCATTTAATCTCACTGGAGGAAAAGATGTTCCAACATGTCAATTTTGTAACCATGGGCAACTCACTTAATTTCTCCTCATGTCCATTTCTTTGTCTGTAAAGGGATCCAGTAACAATCCCAACCTTGCAAGAGATTAATCCTCAAAAGGGATTAAAAGGGACAATGTATATAACGTTCTTAATACAGTGCCTGGCACATAGTTAGGTCGCAATAAATAGAAGCTGTTGTCATATGACTATTGTCTACTGACATGTGTGAACCTCTTTACAGTTTTTCCCCTTCTCTTTTCTCCTCTAAGGTGCCTCCACTCAGAATTCTAACACTGTGGAGCCAGAGAAGCAGGTGGACAACACCGTGAAGATGGCTGGCGTTATTGCTGGCCTCCTCATGTTCATCATCATCCTACTGGGAGTGATGCTTACCATCAAAAGGAGGTGAGTCTATGCCATGGCCCCAGGTAACCCCAACTTTTCCATGTGGCCAAGTCATTACTGTTGATCACTGTTCAACAGGAATCTTCTGATATGATTGTTGAGATCTTGAAATACTTGGGCCAACTGTGGTTCATTGTGTTGGTGTCTGAAGGTCATGGTCCACCTGCATGGTGAGTGGCCTTAGGATGGCCAGTTTTGATAGAGCCAGTAATCTCTGTGGCAGGGCCACCTTGATGTGCCATGGGATTCTGTGTATCAGAAAATGAATTTTATTGGATGTAACTTCCCTGTTGTGATCAGTTGTGTCATCGAGACAGATAGGGAGCCCTAGGAACATAAGTGAGTTCAGAAATACAATTGCAGAAAAACAATGCTTCACCATTCTCACCTCCATGTCCACTGGGTCAAGTAGCAGCCCTCTGCATGAGAGATAAAGCCTCCAATGGTATGCAAGTTCCCAGGGACTCTCCTACTCCAGGTTCCTTCCTACACTTTGTACCATAATACCTTCTGAGCTGGATTGTTGCTGCTTATCACCTCTCAGCAGAATGTCTCTCTGGGCACCTCGGTCAACTGACAGTTTTCTCATCTGATGTGTGTTTCCTGCAATTATCTTGCTCATGAAAGCAAGGATATAGATTGTGCCCTTATTCCAAAGACTCACTATACCAGCATCTTCTTATAAGATATGTTTACAAGGCTTGAGGCTATCACAAGGGTGTTACAGAGAGAGAAAAGAAATATAAAGGATGAATATCACTGTTCCCAGGGTGCACTTGTTATTCTTCCACACAGAATGCTGCTGACCACCTCTCCTAGTCCCCACTGGCCACCATGTTGCTATGCCTACTTCCCACCTCCGTGTCTTCTTCTTTTCATTGCCAGGACTCCAACTGTGGTCTTTACCTTCACACTCCTGAGTCTGCCAGAGCAAACAAAGCATTTATCCACATTACAATAATTTGTGCTGCAGTGTTCCCTGCTCCCAATGAAAAGAGCCCTCTATATTATTAACCAAACTAACACCTCAGTCTGAAGCCCTAGGTTTGGTTATACACAGAGTTCAGGGTGATCCCAGGCACAAGAGCCAGGGATTGTTTCTATCTGTAGGATAAAAAGTGCTCATGAAACTTACTCCCCACCAGACAAAAAGGACAGAAACGACTCTAACAACTAACGCCAGCTTCTACCTTAAGAGCTGCATGAATATAAATGCAGAATTTTTTCAAAAGCCACAGCTTCTCTGCTTTTAGTCTTTAGTGAATCAGAAATACTGGAGTTCCCACTACACATCCAGTCAGCCTTCTCTTACCCTGTAGGAGTCAGGATATTCCTGCGTCTCTTTCTTGTGGCTCTATTTTGAATCAGCCCATTCTCTCTCTAAGCAGCACACTTTATTGTAGGGATCTTGTCTCTTTCTTTATGTCTTTTGTCTGATGGGATCACCTCTCTCCTCAAGCTCCCAGCAAAATGCCTTAAGAGTTAAGGTTCTCAATCGGCTACTGATCTGGTTTGGAGAGACTAGAGGGAAGAAAAAGTACTATGTCTATATCAGGGATGAAGAGCCCTTAATAGGATTAAGGATAGCACTGTATTGTCGTATCATGATCATCAATAAAATGCAGCCATATTGTATGTCTTGTTGACTAGTCAGCTATCAGTTACTATTGTATGAGGGAGAATAGGAATTTGGATTTATCTGGGGGCAGTAAGCACATTGCACAGATAAGATCATTGACCTGTTTCTTAGTGTCACAAATGCATTAGAGGTAGAGGTAAGTTTGGGAGATTGTCTACCCTGAAAAAGTAAACAATTAGATAGAATTGAATACCTTTTTGATAGACCTGAAATGTTCTCATTCTTTGCCACTGATTTGTAAGTCAGATATGCTCTTCCAATTTTGCTCTTTCTAAAGCCTGGCTTAACCCACGTCACCATCGTCACCATCGTCTGTGAGCTTGTGAAGAAATTTTACTTCCTTCTCAACAGCTATTTCTGGAATGTGTGACTTTAGGAGAGGGAGGAAAGGGCTTTCTGCTTCTAGGGTAGGAGCAAGTGTAAAGTGAGTCCTTTGTATAATGTTAACCTCTTCTGAGTATCTTCATCATCTTTCATGCCTAGCAAAACTGTCCATCAGACCTAACCACTAGACATGACATGATCACCATTTCTCCCTGAAGAGACAAACTTAGACCTCACGGCAGGTGGGCTGATCACTGTTTACATACACAGTATTTGGGGGGACAGATCAGACATTTTGCTGACTTCCTTGATAAGAACAATTTACAAATGGATGTGGAGAAGGAGAGAAGAGAATGGAGAGATGAAGCTGGGGAACAAGAGAGAAATTTAACATTTGCATTCTTTTCACTAACCTACAAGGTCTTCCTGTGTTTAGAGACGCCCCAACGGATAGTGAAGGGTGCAGTTCACTCCTTCACCTCTGTGCCTCTTCCAATCATGACATATACACAAATATGGGAAGATTTCATTGGTTAATTAAGTCTATAACTAGCTGACCAAAATGCTATTCATAGCTACCTAAAAGGAAGTAGTATTTAAGAAAAATAACAGACAAATCATCACAGCTTAGGATCTTAGTGTCAGTATCCCTTCAGGGTACCATCATGGCCCATAGTCCCTGCATTCAGGAGTTCTCGGAGTTAAATACCTGCTCACACTCTCTGCTGTCTTCGGTTTGCCTGCCTGGATTATCTCCTTCCCCTCCATGGACATAAGCAAGGTAGTTCTGTTTTTATCTGCTCCCTAGTGGATTGCACTGACTCAGAAGTCTCCCTAAAGCTACAGTCACAAATATTTCCAATAAGTATAAGATGATCCCAACCTTTCCCTCTGAAGGGTTTGCCATCTGTGGTGTGAGGGCTTCCCTCCGCTCTCCAAAGACAGCCTTTCTCTTTCTGTTAGAAGTTTCTCTTTGTGATACCATACTAAAACACAAGCAGATAATAATAGATTTAAGATACAAAGGATGAAGGGAAGAGTTTAAGGAAAGAAGCTAAGTTGATTTACTCTTAAAGGACTGAGGAAAAGAGAGGAGTGATGAGAGAGAGAAAGAGGAAAAAAAAAAAACACCAGCAAATCTTGAGGGATGTTGTTTGGTTCTGTTTTGTAGTGGGGTGGGGGGGGGTTACTTCCTTCTCAACAGCTATTTCTGGAATGTGTGACTTTAGGAGAGGGAGGAAAGGGCTTTCTGCTTCTAGGGTAGGAGCAAGTGTAAAGTGAGTCCTTTGTATAATGTTAACCTCTTCTGAGTATCTTCATCATCTTTCATGCCTAGCAAAACTGTCCATCAGACCTAACCACTAGACATGACATGATCACCATTTCTCCCTGAAGAGACAAACTTAGACCTCACGGCAGGTGGGCTGATCACTGTTTACATACACAGTATTTGGGGGGACAGATCAGACATTTTGCTGACTTCCTTGATAAGAACAATTTACAAATGGATGTGGAGAAGGAGAGAAGAGAATGGAGAGATGAAGCTGGGGAACAAGAGAGAAATTTAACATTTGCATTCTTTTCACTAACCTACAAGGTCTTCCTGTGTTTAGAGACGCCCCAACGGATAGTGAAGGGTGCAGTTCACTCCTTCACCTCTGTGCCTCTTCCAATCATGACATATACACAAATATGGGAAGATTTCATTGGTTAATTAAGTCTATAACTAGCTGACCAAAATGCTATTCATAGCTACCTAAAAGGAAGTAGTATTTAAGAAAAATAACAGACAAATCATCACAGCTTAGGATCTTAGTGTCAGTATCCCTTCAGGGTACCATCATGGCCCATAGTCCCTGCATTCAGGAGTTCTCGGAGTTAAATACCTGCTCACACTCTCTGCTGTCTTCGGTTTGCCTGCCTGGATTATCTCCTTCCCCTCCATGGACATAAGCAAGGTAGTTCTGTTTTTATCTGCTCCCTAGTGGATTGCACTGACTCAGAAGTCTCCCTAAAGCTACAGTCACAAATATTTCCAATAAGTATAAGATGATCCCAACCTTTCCCTCTGAAGGGTTTGCCATCTGTGGTGTGAGGGCTTCCCTCCGCTCTCCAAAGACAGCCTCTCTCTTTCTGTTAGAAGTTTCTCTTTGTGATACCATACTAAAACACAAGCAGATAATAATAGACTTAAGATACAAAGGATGAAGGGAAGAGTTTAAGGAAAGAAGCTAAGTTGATTTACTCTTAAAGGACTGAGGAAAAGAGAGGAGTGATGAGAGAGAGAAAGAGGAAAAAAAAAAAAACACCAGCAAATCTTGAGGGATGTTGTTTGGTTCTGTTTTGTAGTGGGGTGGGGGAGGGCAGAGGACATGGAGATGGAAGGCAGGGAAGAATATGAGATGTTGGTGGGCAAGTATAAAGTGATTTATAATTCAGCTTAATACCATAGGGCAGTGGGTGCATTCTATGTAAATTAATGTGGAAAACTCATGTCTCAGTACCATAACCAGTGTATCTTGATGGTGGAAGGTTTTAATAGTCATTCACATATTAGAAGTTTTACACTTTAATCTTTGTTTGTAGGGTGTGGAATTATGTGCATATGTTCATGAGTTTCACATAATTACATGTTATGCCTTGGAACATATTTATTGAGGGAATCTGCCAAGTATAGTTCCTTAACGGTTAAGTCTTAGCCATGTGCTTTTGAGCCAGAAACACTAGAGTCAGGTTAAACAAGATTCATCTGGATCCTACATTAAAATCCCCACCCTTCTTTCCTTTCAAAGGAAAACTAGACAACATTAAGGAGTTATTATCAAAGTCAGTACTACACAGGGTTCCAGGCACCTTCTGTCTCCCTCTTCCCCACCCAGCTCCTCCTGGCCTAGCCTGAAAATTTTGTCAGTCATGTCTTGCCTGTCCACATGGTCATTTTTCTGAGTGTGTATTTAGAGCATCTTTGGAGTTTGAAATATGAGGGTCTATTCTAAGATGTACATAAATCTCTAGTTATACATTGATTCTCTGTGAT